ATGTTGCAGGTGGAAAAACAAGTCAACAGGTCAAGGAGCTTTGGTTCCTGAAATTTCACCACCTCAGCTACAGCTGGAGCAATGAAACTGGATTAATTTTGCCCTCTAGCTCAGTGTTCTGGGTCACTGTATCCTCTGCTATCCAGAAAAACAGGCTCCCATCGGGACAAACAATGAATATGCATGAGGATTTTACATAGTAAGCATTCAATAAACACTTCTTGAATTAATGAATACATTTCCCCAGCTTACACCTGCTATGACTTTTAAAGCTCCTAAGGAGCTAAAAACAAGTGTTCTGGTCTATATCACTTCGGGAGTAGCTTGCGGTGCCGATGACCGATGACCAATGACCGGGGCTTGGAAGTTTCTCCAGTAAATTCTGTTCTGGTATAGATACTCTAAAGGCTAAATCAAAGCACACACTGGGAAACAGAAAAGGAGGGAGAGTAAAGAAGCTTGAAACAGGGGCTGTGGTTGTTTCTAAGTCGTAAAGTACTCTGACGAGTGGAGGACTTGCCTCTTGGCTCCACCCTGAGCACTGCAGACATCAGGCCTGTAAACACAGCACTAGGGAGGTGAAGGCAGGAGGATCACAAGTCCAAAGTAATCCTTGCTATGTATGTAGCAGCTTCAAAGCCATACCGAGCTACATGAATGAGACTGTCTCTAAAAACATAAATAAAACAAAACAATCTACTGAGCCAGCTAATAGTAACTATTACTAACTGTATTCAATAATTAGAAACTTAAAAGTTAAAATAGTGAGGAGCTGGAGAGATTGCTCAGGAATTAAGAGCACTGGCTGCTCTTTCAGAGGACCTGCATTCAAATCCAGCACCCACATGGCAGCTCACAACTGTCTGGAACTCCAGTTCCAGAGGATCTGACACCCTCTCACACACAGCAAAACACCTATGTATATAAAATAAAAATAAAGGAAAACAATTTTTTTAAGGTGAAATAAATCAGCTATTAGATCTTGCAAATGATCAGATTTTGCAGCTGTGCTCAAAGACTTAAACACGTCCTCAGTCGCTGGGAGTGGTGGCTCATGCCTTTAATCCCAGTGCTTGGGAAGCAGAAGCAGGTGGACCCCTGAGAGTTTGAGGCAAGTCTGGTCTGACACAGACTGTTACACAGAGAAACTCTGTCTCAAAAAACAAACAAAAAGTCAAGGGTTGCTGGGGGTGGGGGTGGGGGGAGCACACTTTTAACTCCAGCACTAGGGAGGCAGTCTAAGAGGAAAAAGGAAAAAAAATCACCAAGGGTCTTTAGGGGTAAAATAATAATAAAAATAAAACCCTGGAGATATGTATGTATGTATGTATGTATGTATGTATGTATGTATGTATGTATGTAGCTCAGAGCTTGCCTAGGATGCATGAAGCCCTGGCTTTAGTCCTAGCACCACATAAAACCAGGCAGTGATTCAGAACCCAGCATTCAGATGGAAGCAGAAGGCTCCGACATTCAAGGTCATCCTCAGGTACACAGATAGCAAGCTTGAGGAAAGCCTGGGCTATGTGAGAAAAAGCTTTAGAGGCATAGCAGGCGAAACACAACATGCTTTAATTTTTCCAAACCATGTCTTCTGCTACAAAAGGGGCAAAGATGTGGAAATGATTGGCATCTCAAGGGAAGGAGAGCTGACAGTGAAAGTACTTTCCAAAAGAGTCTGGCAGCTGCAGATGTAAACATGCAGAGGCATCGAACATCCCAACACACATACTCCCGGCTACAAGGAGCCGACAGCATGTCCTTGCAAAGACCTGCACTCGAACGTACACGGTGGCGCTATGCATACGAGCCAAAAAGTCCACGGAAGCTCAGTAATGCTGGCTCAACATTTTCACTTCTAAAATTCACTCTATAAACGCAGTCACACATGTAGTGAGATTTTGTAGCCATTTGCAATAGAATTTAACACTCCCCAATCCCCACTTACGACTGACTGCTGAAGGGATCATGATTCAGCCATACAAGGATAGCACTGAGCAGTTAAGAAGAGAATAATATCCTGATGGCTTAGCTGGTAAGAGAGCCCGTAGCCAAAACTGGTGACCTTTGCTGAATTTTGGAATCTCATATGGTTGAAAAAGTGAACCCACTCCCACAAATTGTCCTCTGACTTGTGCACACAAGTCCTGGTAAGAGTGAAATACTAAAAAGTTAAAAAAAAAAAAAAAGAGTGAAATACATTCTTCTCTCTGTCTCCCTTCCCCACTTCCCCTTTCCTAACACAAAGTAAAAGAGAAATTTTAAAAAAGATTTTAAAAAGAAATTTTAAAAAGTGAAGTATTAAAAAAAAAATAATCAAACTGTTCATATATTTCCGTAATAGAGCTCAGTGAGTTCAAGGCCCACTTTGTCTACATATTCTCAGAGCAGAGCAGCCTGCTAACAGTAAGACCCTGTCTCAAAAAAACAAGTGAACAAACAAACAAAAGATAACAACAAAACAAGCTGTAAATGAAGGGACCAGTTGCCATTTGCTAAGCACAAAGCCTTCTACCTCCCTCCCTCATTACCATCTCACATAAAATAAGAAATAAAATCAAAAGCAATCTGGACTCTGCAACTTTCCACGGTAGCCGATGCCTGTTACCTCAGCACTGAGGAGGCTGAGACAGCAGGGTCTAAGAGTTTAAGGCTGATGTGGATTAGTGAGTTCTAAGCTAGCCTAGACTATATAATGGGACCCAATATTTTTTAAAGGGGTGCTGAAGAGATGGCTCTGCTATTGCAGGGGAGCCAAGCTCTGTTCGCCTGGGACCTGGGGCCTCTCCTCAGCTCTTCAGGCACTGCATCCCTGCAGCGCACATAAACACACATGCACATGAAATTAATTTGTTTTGCAAATAACACAGAACTGGCTGTTTTGGTGTCTTTGGTTTTTGTTTGTTTGGGTTTTCTTCTTTTTCTTTCAGGAACCTGAGGTTACCACTCAAGGACTTCAAGCCTTGCTCCCTGTAGCTGGTTGCTGTCTTACTCTGAGGCTGGACCATTCCATCATCAGGGCTTGTAACTGAACAGTATTTTGATTCGGAGCACAAAACGCAACAGCTCCCTCAGAATTATTGACTTTTTGTTTCTTTGTTTTTCAGAACAGGGTTTCTCTGTAGACCAGGCTTGGCCTGGAACTCAGAGATCCTACTGCCTCTGCCTGCTGGGAGACAGGCTTATTGACTTTTTTTTTTAAGGTTAATTCTTTGATGACTTCCTCAGGAAGGCCTGCCATGGAAGAGAAAGATTTCCTCCAATGACTGCTGTCGGAATTCTTTTGGTGGGTTGTAGCTCAATGGGAGAGAGCTGGCCTACATGCACAAAGGCTCTGAATGTCAGCTTCCGGGCCACGAAGATGTTTTCTTATTGAAAACAACCACCTATACCTTACAACTGTTTTTTCTTTTCTCTTTGTTTTCTTTGTGGTTTTGAGACACGCTCTCTCTACATAGACCTGGCCGTCCTGGCATTCACTATGTAGAGGAGGCTGACCTTGAACTCACTCTGAGAATTGACTCTGCCTAAAGAGTGCTAGGATTAAAGGTGTGTGCCACCACACCCAGCCTTACAATTTTTCTTGTTGAAAAAAGCCTCCTAAATATTCAACAAAGAACTGTCTAAACTGTTCATAAAGTATTTAAATCTTTAAATGCATTTAAATTCACAAATCTTTTACAGTTTAATCTTTTAAAACTATACACCCTTTGGCCTAGGTAGTAATTAAAATCAAATGATATTTTGAACACACAAATTGGAGGCTAGCATTTTGCTATGAAATGCAGAGCAATGAAAAAAATCAATTGTGTGCCATCCTGCATGGGTTTGCAAAGAAGAGATACATATGTGTGGTGGTCTAGGATGTTTCTAGAAAAATTCGCGAGAAATTGGGAACATTGCTTACATCTAGAGGACACTCCTGTGTCTGTCACCTACTTTTCTCAATATACTCTTGCAAACCTTTACAATTCAGAGCTATACAAGGATTAATTAACTTGCCCTTTACTAAATAGCCCTAACCAAAGATCATCTTAAGAGTAAGAAAGAGCAGAGGGGATGTGCACGAAGTCTCTTTGAAGGAACCTGGGCTGGCGTCTCCACGGGGACCTTTGCAGACACCAGCTAGGAGCTGTACTTAAAGCAACTCCTTCCTCTTCCTCCTTCAAACGCTAAGAAACTTTCCCCCTCCTCTCGGCTTCCTTTAAAAATCGGTCTTACTTTCTAGCTGCCCATCAATATCGAACATACTTTCTACTAAATTTCTACGTTCGTCTAAACACTTCCTAAATAAATAAATGTTCTCACCCATCGAGCCCACGTAGGAAAGTCCAAGTTCAAGCCTACCCCCACGCAGGTAGACACCTTCCGCCTCAGAAAACGCAGCACATTCCCCCAACCGCGCAGACAGCTATGCAGCTGACAACGCATTTCCACGTTCATCAGCACCCCGAATCCCGGCAAACCCCGCAGCTGCCAAACGCATTTCTCTGGTCTTCAAGAGCTGAGACACTAAGAAGAATCACCCTCGAAAGCTGCTTTTCTACCTACTCCGGCTGGCGGGGATTTCTCAAAAGTGACACCTCTGGGCTCTCAGCTTGCTGGGTGGCTCAAATGCCATCACCGTGACACCTTTCTGGGGGCGCGGGAGAGAGGGCAAGGAGCCCAGAGGAGGCCTAAAAGGGCGCGACGGCGCGGGGAGAGGGAGGCTGGGGCGGCCAGCCGCCCCGGCGGGACCCCACGCGCCGCCGGGGCTCAGCGGGGCTGCGGGCCCTAGGGACAAGCAAAGCCCATCGGGGCTCAGCAGCGGCTGGGACCGCGCCATCTAGCCCGGGAGGAGCTGGGTTCGAGGGCAGGGCCGCCCCCCCCACACACTCCCGAGCCGGACGCACCAGCAGAGGTGACCTCTCGGCCCATCTGCGGTAAAGTTGGCGCCGCGGGCGCGTGGGCCGACAGGCGCGAGCAGCCGCGAGCCTCGTGGGGGGTGTGGCGGGACTCACCCGTGATGTCCAGGTACAGGTCGTCCTGCTGGTCCAGGCGGTGCAGCTCCTGCGGCGTGGAGCTGCGGCTCTTCTTCACGCCGGGAGAGGCGGACGAGCTGCGGCGCGAGCAGGGGGGCGCGGTGGCCCAAGCCGAGCGCCGCTCGCCCTTGCGCTTCATGGAGGCGGCCGCGGCCCGTCAGGGGACCGCGACCATGGCCCGGCTGCCCGGGTCCTCGCGCTGCGTCTCCCGCCGTCCGCGCCCCGGGGCCCCCACCGCGCTGGCCGGCCGCTGGAGAGAAGCGCGCGCGCCTGGGGACGCAGCTGCCGGGGCGTCTGAGCTCAGCGGGCCGCGGCTCCCGGGGACCCCCAGGAGGGATGTTCCGTGGAGCTTCATTCACAAAAAGAAGGGCCCACAACCCTCCTCGGGGCCCGCCGGCTCGGGCCGCTCATTGGTCAGCGCGGCGTGACGTCACGCAGCCGGGGCCTTCCTACAGGCAGGTACTCGGTGACGCCATAAAGAAAAGTCTGAGCGCTTCCGCCAATCAGGCAGAGAGCGTGTTGGCGACCCCCTGGGTGGGACCCCAACTTTTGTCTCCTGTGCCCAGGTGTGACGGCCCGGCCCCCAGTTCCTCGAGGGAGTCCCCAAGTTCCTACACAGCCCCACCCTAGCCACGCCACTCCGGGGCTTTGGGATGGAATTTTCTTTTTTAAATCTTCCTTGGGTTTCCTTGTGATTCGCGCCAAGGGAGCCTTGTCATGGCCGCCTGCTAGGAGTGCAGCCTGCTGACACGGCCCGCAGCTCTGCGGTCGCCGGGCAGGGAGTGGACCTCAGAATTTAAAGTTCAGACCAGCGCTGCTTTTCCAAACAGGGCAACGAGGGCTTCTCAGCGTCGCCAAGAACCACCTGGAGACGCGATTTACCGCACCTTCCAGCTGCTGGCTGTGCCTACCCGAGGTGCCCACGGTCCGATGGCGCATGAAGTGTTGGAGCACGTGGCCAGCGGAGCCCTTTCCTCCTGCAGGGATACGGCCCCATATTTTGCTACTGGGTTAAAAAGATGTCAGACTTTTCTGGGACTTGACCGCAACTGCCATTTTGAAGGGCCTAGCTCCAGGGTAGCATCTATGTGGGCGAGGAGAGCAGCCTTTAGAGTCGGTGGTCCCAAACTCCATCTGCTTCTAGTCTGCAAGGGAAACCGGAGTCAGAGACGGATGAATTTCAGCCCCTCCTCCCCTCCCCCAAGGAACTTCTCGGAAAGGCAGAGTTCACGGAGTTCCTCCCACGACGGTCCTTTGGCGTCTTTTGTTTTGAGGCGCTCCCTTAAGCCAGCTAAGGAGGGAAAGTTGCAGGTCGGCCCTCCTCGGCTGCTCCCGCTGAAGAACGGGCTTGCTTTCCAGTTCATCTAGTTCATCTTTTTTTTTCCATAAGGATATCAACGAAGGCCTTACATTTAGGATGTTTGCAGCGGTAGCAAAAACATCTGACCTGGAAGAGGAGGTCTTCCACACTGTTCAAGGCTCGTAGTAGAAGGGCTACCAGGTGACACATTTAAGAATAGGTCTTTTTTTTTTTTTTAATCCCTACTGTAATCCGTAGGACTACAGGGAAGAAAGTATTTTAAGAGATTATTTGTTGTGACTAACTACGAAGCCCGGACTGCCCTCAAAATGGCATCTGTCTCTCCAGCGCCAGGATTACAGGCACCTTACCGGGTTTTTTTTTGGAGGGGGGGGCCGGGCGGGTAAGAGGCGGTCCTGTGTGTTCCATTCTTTGAGCTTTTGGAATTCTAAACCTTGCACGTGTTGGACAAATGATCTGCCTGAAAGGCACATCCCTGGGCCAGGTTATTTTTTGAGACTGGCTTAGTTAAATGTCTAAGAGCCAAGTAGTTTCCATACATCGGTTCATTTTCTCTCACCTTAGGCTAGAATGTTGGGCTAAGTTCTAACAAAATGCACATGGCTTAAATAAAGGGGGAAAAAAACCCTGAAGTATACACTTATACCATGTAAGCGTTTTCATATTTTGCAAATACATAATTTTATGATCTTGCTGAAATAATATTTTTAAAACAAGGCTTTTTGATTATAACTTCTAATTATTCAGACAAGCCTTTCATTCTTGGGAACTAAAAGTCCATGTTCATCCCTTCGGTATGGCCACACAGGCCTGTAATGTCAGCACCTGAAGGAGGAGGCTACAGGAACAGGACTTTAAGGCCATCCTCTGCGACATGCGGAGTTGGAAGCCAGCCAAGGCCACAACCAGATCCTGTCTCCTAACAAGAAAAGGGTCAAGGCCAATCAGGTGGCACAGTGGAATGGCACTTGTCAGCAAAGCTGACAATCTGAGTTCACTCCCTGGAAACCAGTTTTTAGAAGAGAACCAGCTCCCACAAGCTGTCTTCTGGCACACACCCCTCCACACATACTAAAGAAATAAGGAAATGTCATGTTTAGATGGTGGCAGCAGACCTCTCCACTGATCTTTGTTGTGTGGGGGACGTTCCCTTTGAATTGTCTGAATTCTCTCGGCAAGCTGACCTCCAGGTTCTAAGAATTTGACTACAAGAAAGAACCTGAGTTTGCTTGCATGAGTACATTATTGTTCATTGTTTGATCACTGGGCACAGAATTGTAGTATTTGTCAAGCACCTTGGACAGTTTGGGTCTAAGGCTATCCAGGACAGTGAGGACAATGAACATCATGGGGACCTAGGAAGGAGAAGAAGCCCCTTACTCTGGAATATGACTGAAGTCTCTCAACAGCTGAGAATGAAGAATTTCAGGCTGCACAGGGCACAGTGGGCCACACCTGTGACCGCAGCACTCAGGGAGGCGGAGGCAGGTTGATCTCTGTGGGTTCAAGGCCACCCTGGTCTACAAAGCAAGTGCACAACAGCCAAGACTACAGAGAAGTCCAGTCTCAAAAAACCAAAAAAGAAAAAACAGAATTTCAGGCTGGCGCTGGAGAGATAGCTGAGACATTAAGAGTGAGCATTGCTCTTGCAGAGCACCTCAGTCAGTTCCAGCACTCAGGTCAGGCTGCTCACAACTGCTTGGAACTCCGGCTCCGGAGGATCTGGCTACCTGGCACCTGCACTCACTTAAGTCACACCTACCATGCAGACACACATGCAAGCAGAGCACGAATGTAATAGAATAAAATCATTTTAGAATGCTTACTAGGTAAATTGGTTCCTGTTGGGCACGTGGCACACACCTCTAATCCCGGTCCATGGAGATTGAAGTACTGTGAGTTTAAGGCCAACCTGGGCCTGAATTCCAGGTCAGCTGGAGTATCGAGTGGGACATTGTCTCCAGAATCCAAAGTAAACTTTAATTGCCTTTTTGCTGCTGTTGCTGTGTTTTGTTTTGTTTTGTTTTGTTTTGGCTTTTCAAAACAGGGTTTCTCTGTGTAATAGCCCTGGATGTCCTGGAACTTGCTTTGTAAACCAGGCTGTCCTTGAACTCACAAAGATCTGCCTGCCTTTGCCCACTGAGTGCTGGGAGTAAAGGTGTGTACCACCATACCAGGCTCTTAAAAGTAAATTTTTTTAAAGTATAATTAGCACATGATACAAACAAAGACTGCAAAAGGATTCTGAGTGTACCCCAGAGGCCCTTGAGTGTACCCTGTTAGAGGCTCTTGGCTATGGAGTAAGCAGCTTTATTCCACATGTCATTCTTGCCGTGATCTGTTGTCTTACCAGTAGCTCCAAAGCAATGGGCCAACCAAGCTTAAGCCCCAGAAACTGTAAGTCAAAACAACCTTTCTTTTTAAGTTGATTATCTCAGGTATCTTCTTACAGGAATGGAAATCTAATAGAGTAGGTGTTCCTTCAGTGAGGTATAAAACTACATATGGTGTGTAATCACTGCCCAAAACACGTTATAAAAATCAAAGGAAGTTTTTAAATTTGTGTGTGTGTGTTTGTTTGTTTGTGACAAGGTCTGTAGCACTGGCTGTCCTGGAACTCACTTCGTAGAGCAGAGTGCCCTGGAGCTCTGCCTCTGCCTGCTGAGTGCCAGTATTAAAGCTGTGTGGCAGCATGTGACGCTCTGTTGGGCTCCCAGTGAGTCTCTTTCAAAATACCACCTGTGTGGTTTACATGTGATTTGAGCACATCTCTCAAAGATGTGTATGTTGGGGGCTTGGTGTTCAACAGGGGTATGACTCAGTGTGACCTTAAGAGAGGGGATTATCGGAGAGTCAGGAGGTCTTGGGGGCACCGCCCGCCCCGGTAAGGGTGAATGCAGGTCTCCTGGAGCAAGGTCAGGAGAGGTTGGCACCTCCCCCAGTCTCTCTCCTGCATGCTACTCTCACTGCAGTCTGTTAAGATGTCCACAATGAGGTCCTTTATCAGTTATCCAGTACATTCCGATGCTCTGCCCAAGTGCTGGATTAAAGGTATGTGCCACCACACTTGGCTTGGTGCTATGCTTATAAGCTTCCAGCACTGTGAGCTGAACAAACCTCTTTTTTTTTTTTTTAAGTACCCAGTCTCTTGTATTCTGTTACAGCAACAGACCGTGAGCTAAGAACCCTCTTCACAGACATGCACATGATTCCCTAAGTCAGACCATGTCCTATAGCCATTCTCCTGCCTCTGAATCCCTCGCCTTGCTTTGCTTGCTGCTCTCCATGTCAGATATGTTCTTCTGGCACAATATTCTGGCATCTGAAATTTATTTCTGGCTCTCTCATCTTGACCGAGTTGGATCAGCTCTTCTGGCTGAGTCCTGGTCCCCTTTAACACACTGGACTTTGGACAGTCTTTCCTGGACTCCTCAAAAGAGGCTGCAGATCCAAGTCTACTCTGCCTGTTGGCCCAGCTGCCAGGCCAGGCCTCCTTCCCGCAGGGCAGGACACAGCAAGCTTCCCAGCCATAATCAGCAAAGATAATCAGGTAATTAGAGATAGCTAACCACCTCCTTCACCCACACTACACACATTTTTCTTGCCAACTATTACAGAACAAGAAAGACATTCTTGTCTAACTCCTTATTGACATGGAAATAATTGAAAGGCATCAATTTCAAGTCTCTTCCCAGGCCCAGGTTGTAGAAATGTAAAAGCAATTTATTCCTCTCCAGTTGCAGCTAGGAAGAACATTCTTGCAGACTTTCTGGTTTGAAAAGAAAACGAACAGTTTGAATACAGTGATTTCCTCTGTGTCTTTTGTATTAAAGTTACTTGATGGGGAGGAAATCTGAGCCCACCTTTGGG